AGTTTATCGTAAACTTACCGAATTACTGGAATCATTTCGTAGCTTACCAGGCATTTTCATCGTTTGTTTTGGACACACGCTGTAAGTATGATTTTTAGAATGTTCAAGTCATTTACAATGACGAGCAAATTTTGGAACGTTATTGATGAAATATGATAAGATATTGACAAAGATAATGGATATTATAACCACTGTTATTGGAAATGATTAATAAAAATGATTGCACCAGCTACTTTACATAAATTATCCCCTATTTACATTAAAATATAAAATGAATTTTGAATTTGACAATTGTCTGACGTCTGTTGTCACAAATTTCATAAACATAGCCTCATTATTTTTTTTTTAACTGAGAACCTTAGATACGAGATGCAATGTGGGAACCATAGATTAAGTGGGAAATGACCAGTGAACTAAGTGACATTACTATCATCACAGATATGTTGTCATTTTATTAATAATGCTTATAGAAAGAAAATAATACATTTCAGAGAGATTGTGAATTATTATGGAATAAGGAGTGTTCAAGTAATATAAGATGCAAAAGTAAAATCTAATAACTAAAAATAAAGGAACAAGTCCATCATCCATTTCATTTTTATACTCCAAGATTTAAAAGAGCACAGAAATTGACCTATTCCAATAATTCCGAAAAGGAGGCTGAAGAGGGCTTTCTTGTTTCTGCTCTACCCTCTAGCTTTGCTTAGACCTGACCCCAGTGTGGATTGGAGGGATAATCTGCTTATCAGAATTAGTAGCTTTTGGGAATTAAGCACCCATATTATTAGTACACATGTGATCTAAGGGATCTAAAGTTCTACCCTGGCGCCTCATTTTTATTACTGTAGTTTATAATTATGCATTAAAAAAAAAAAATAGAATGATGTAGAAAGAAGTATCTTCATCTTCCCTTGTAATATTTTCTTGATTAGCTCATTTATTAATCTATATCTATCCACGTACTGTATCTAATACATTTACCAGTTGTTTATTCTAAGGCAAAATAAAGTATTAAATACTTACATGGGCATAGAATTTATAAAGCTAGTTGGAAGGAAACTTCTCTAAAAGGTTTTGAAGCACTCTTTATAAGCATAGCCTTAAAAACGTCTCTTGATAGTTTACACAACTGAATTCTAGTGTTTACTTTGTGATAGTAGCTACTTCCAAATGAAGGTACTGTTGATATTTCGTTAACTGAGGAAATTTTTGTAGTCATTTCGTTTGTAATTACCACCTAAATAATTCAAAACGTTACAGCATAAACAAATGTGATTTATTACGAAAAACAGGTCTTATGTTTGTGTCCAAAATTGCAGCTTTAAATATTCAAAAAATGGCACTTCTAAAAAAATATTTGCAACTTCATTTTCTGATAATAAAAACATAAATTTATTTAAAACAGGAAGTCATTACTGGACTTTCATATGCTAAACAGATTCTTATTGTCATTTTTTCTCGTTTACGTCCTATTTACAGGCCAATCTTGATAGCCTGTTTTATAGGGTAATACCCTTTCTAAGATTGACATTCAATTAACATAAAAACTTTAATTTTTCACATTTTGAAATTACTTTGAGGAAAAGTTAAAACATGGGAGTTTTGCAAATTTTTTGCCTTTTTAAAAAAACTATTTTCAATTGCATAAGACCGCTTTCCATTTGTATTATAAATAATCTTCAGTGTTAAACTTACAGCCAGATTGTATCTTTGTGCCAACAATTTAAGATTATAAAGAACATTATTTAGAATTTCTGCTCTTTTTTCAATTGCAGCAAATCTAATAGGAGCAGTAATACTATCCACAATAATAAGCTTAATCTAAAAAATGACGAATTTTTAAAAAAAATGATTCCTATTAGCTTATTACTTACTCTTACATTTTTGTTCATCTGTAACCAATTTTCTAAAATATTTATGGCTGCAATAAATTCTACATCTGTTACTACTTGAATATAGTGAATCTTCTTCATTATATCTTCAATTTTAAAGTAGCTATCGAATTCTTTTAGTTTGGCTGATGCAGATTTCAAATTGTTATAAATGTGTCCAGACTTTATTGCTATTTCTGCAAATTTTCTAAAATTAATTGCATACAAACTTAAAGGCTAGTTACTTACCTCGAAGTCTTTCTGGATTAAATCCATATTTAGTATTTACATAGATAACTTCTAATACATCTAATTCTGGAGGTATACTAATTTTATGGTGAATTGCAAACTTTTTCAATGCCTCATACTGTAATGAGATGGTATCACATTCCTTTTTAAAATTTCTGGTTTCGTCTTGCATTTCCTCCATTTCAGACCACTCTGCAGTCTTTTTAACTTCAAGTTCATCCTTCTGTTCAATTTTTTTTATTCGACATGAAGCTGCGTATCCTCTATTTTTAAGAGTTCGTCTTTTTTGTTTCATGCTGTTTATTTCTGCCTTGGAATACCTTTTCAACTTTAAAAGCTTGTTTAGATCTTTAACGGGAATCAAAACAAGTTCTTCATCTGAGATAATTTCAGGACTACCTGATTTTGAAGGTACCTAATTTTTGTAAAATTAGTTATCTAATTCAATATTGAAATAGTTTATCGTAAACTTACCGAATTACTGGAATCATTTCGTAGCTTACCAGGCATTTTCATCGTTTGTTTTGGACACACGCTGTAAGTATGATTTTTAGAATGTTCAAGTCATTTACAATGACGAGCAAATTTTGGAACGTTATTGATGAAATATGATAAGATATTGACAAAGATAATGGATATTATAACCACTGTTATTGGAAATGATTAATAAAAATGATTGCACCAGCTACTTTACATAAATTATCATTTTAAATACAAAATTTGACGTTTGCCTCCTTTTGTTTACGTCTGTCAGCCCTCTAACGTTAGTTGTTCGAACTTCGAANTGATTTTTAGAATGTTCAAGTCATTTACAATGACGAGCAAATTTTGGAACGTTATTGATGAAATATGATAAGATATTGACAAAGATAATGGATATTATAACCACTGTTATTGGAAATGATTAATAAAAATGATTGCACCAGCTACTTTACATAAATTATCCCCTATTTACATTAAAATATAAAATGAATTTTGAATTTGACAATTGTCTGACGTCTGTTGTCACAAATTTCATAAACATAGCCTCATTATTTTTTTTTTAACTGAGAACCTTAGATACGAGATGCAATGTGGGAACCATAGATTAAGTGGGAAATGACCAGTGAACTAAGTGACATTACTATCATCACAGATATGTTGTCATTTTATTAATAATGCTTATAGAAAGAAAATAATACATTTCAGAGAGATTGTGAATTATTATGGAATAAGGAGTGTTCAAGTAATATAAGATGCAAAAGTAAAATCTAATAACTAAAAATAAAGGAACAAGTCCATCATCCATTTCATTTTTATACTCCAAGATTTAAAAGAGCACAGAAATTGACCTATTCCAATAATTCCGAAAAGGAGGCTGAAGAGGGCTTTCTTGTTTCTGCTCTACCCTCTAGCTTTGCTTAGACCTGACCCCAGTGTGGATTGGAGGGATAATCTGCTTATCAGAATTAGTAGCTTTTGGGAATTAAGCACCCATATTATTAGTACACATGTGATCTAAGGGATCTAAAGTTCTACCCTGGCGCCTCATTTTTATTACTGTAGTTTATAATTATGCATTAAAAAAAAAAAATAGAATGATGTAGAAAGAAGTATCTTCATCTTCCCTTGTAATATTTTCTTGATTAGCTCATTTATTAATCTATATCTATCCACGTACTGTATCTAATACATTTACCAGTTGTTTATTCTAAGGCAAAATAAAGTATTAAATACTTACATGGGCATAGAATTTATAAAGCTAGTTGGAAGGAAACTTCTCTAAAAGGTTTTGAAGCACTCTTTATAAGCATAGCCTTAAAAACGTCTCTTGATAGTTTACACAACTGAATTCTAGTGTTTACTTTGTGATAGTAGCTACTTCCAAATGAAGGTACTGTTGATATTTCGTTAACTGAGGAAATTTTTGTAGTCATTTCGTTTGTAATTACCACCTAAATAATTCAAAACGTTACAGCATAAACAAATGTGATTTATTACGAAAAACAGGTCTTATGTTTGTGTCCAAAATTGCAGCTTTAAATATTCAAAAAATGGCACTTCTAAAAAAATATTTGCAACTTCATTTTCTGATAATAAAAACATAAATTTATTTAAAACAGGAAGTCATTACTGGACTTTCATATGCTAAACAGATTCTTATTGTCATTTTTTCTCGTTTACGTCCTATTTACAGGCCAATCTTGATAACCAATTGTGTGACATTAACGTCGACAGCAGACAAATGCTTACACATATCGGGTCATGTTTCTGCAAAACATTCTTAATGGAATTCAAATATTTTGGATATTTTAAATAAATCGCGTTTCACGAAAATATTGCGTACCGATAATAATAATTCCCATTCAATTAATCGTAACTAGTAGAAAGGTGATTTCGTTCCGGTATTGCTGAAACGGATATACAGATACTTGATTCATTGTTTTATGCATTAATTTGTTAATGTGTGATTCCTATAATATTATTAACTTTCGAGTATATATGATTACGTGATAATTTAAACTTTCTATTTTACCTATTTAAAATATATCTACACACTTCATAGGAATATTTATACAATACGCAGTACTTATTTAATAGCGGTAAGTACGAAACTTGTAGTACTTTATCTTTTAGCAGATATTTGTGGATATTACATGGAAGTCCTTTGACGAACCTTTAAGTTTTCCAGTATATAATAAACCAGTATAGTTTTTAACATGAACAGAAGAATACACAAATCCTTAAAATTGATACTACAATCCTATGGTGTATTTTTACTGAATAGGCCCTCCTTATGCACATTTTTAAAATTATTTAATTTTTCTCTGCAAGAATCCAGAGAATCGTAAATATTAAACATTCATCATAATCGTCAATCCGAAAACCGTTTGGACGCGCACCTCCATTCGTTCTTATCTTCAACCAATATTTGCTTTTCCCGAAGAATAGAACATCCAACATCCCTAACTATTTGTTAACAGTAATCTCCTAGATTTTCCTCTGCCCCTCTTTACGCCGGCTTCTAAGTTTCTAGGATAAGATTGCAGATTTTGAATAGTTTGAAGGGTCAGTCACCGCCTACCATTATACCNGACAAACGATGTTTGGCGGGAACAGCTGACGGAAGGCTGAAGCCAGGGCCGTACCTACCGGTATTTCCTCCGATTAAGAAAACTTTAAGGGCCTGTATCTCACTCACATTCATTTTTAAACAAATAATAAACAAAATTCTAGTAAATACTACTACACTACTTCACTTGGTGAGTACTACCTACCTGACTAAACTTCATGTCTCAATTCCAATGTCAACTAATGTAAAAAATTACCTAAAAAAGCTGTGTATAAGAATTTATATGGTATTTCATATACCTTATTTGAGATTTTCCAGATCCTGGCTCCCCACAGAACTCTGTAATCTGTTTTAGATGTACACCACCTCCTAGAATATCATCCAAATTTTTAATAAATGTTATAATAGTACCTTGAGTAATTTCTTCTTGATACAAATCTAATGCGGATCTTGTATATGGGGGATTTTGTAAAACTTTTAGATCATTTTGGAATATATCAATCACTCTTTCATCTGATGGGTTTAAATCTTTTAAATAATAGTAACCAAGTCGGAATAATTGTTGAAGTTTATAATTCGGTAATCCTAAAGTAGACAGTGGCTGCTCCATTTTCACACAATGTTGAATGTTGTTTAATTTATTAATTTACATAAATTATCATTTTAAATACAAAATTTGACGTTTGCCTCCTTTTGTTTACGTCTGTCAGCCCTCTAACGTTAGTTGTTCGAACTTCGAACTAATCGTAAATTGTTGAATATCTTTGCGGGAAATTTAATTTAAACCCTCTTAGGCGCGAATTTTAAGTGCACTCTACTATAAATATATTTCATTGCATTTACCTATGGAATTGCATTGGAACTCTATTGATTAATTATGGACAATGAGATCATATTTAAGATGAATAAAAGCAAGTTTAAGCTTTATGATAATGTTTATTGTAAGTATTAAGACTAAATAAATTATATACAGATAAATATCACTACATTCGAGTTTTCATTCTTTTCACAAACAGGGAGGGTTTTGATAGATCAAACAGTTTGCAAAAGTACCTAATGGTACGAATCCAGGTCCCATCGAGTATTTGAAATTTTTTTCATCATGAAAGACAAAACTTATGGTAATATTCGTTACGAATTCTAATGTTTGCCATTAAATGGAAAATAATTGAAAACAGAATAATTACAGCAAAACAGATGTTAACGAAGCAGTAATATATGGTAACGGAAAAGGACTTCAAATACTGTGTTTTTCCCATTTTTTAATCCTAAAAAAGAACAGAAAAATAATGTTCCTTGTTTTACTTAAGAAAAAATCGATTAAACTTCTTACATGTAAATCGATTAAAATGCAGAAAAACTTAAATGGAATATCTATTACTAATATCTATTATCTAATATTACTAATAAAAATAAAATTTTAATTGAAAAAGGTAAAATCTAAAAGACTTACCTCTGAGAGTCAGCGTAACCAGGCAGTACTTCACAGAGAAAAAAATTAGTATAAGAAGTAGTTATTTATATATTTAACAAATAGCCTTATAATTTAAATGCTGTATGTTAAGTTAAATGTTATTTAAATCGAAAAGCCGACATTTGTAATAGATATTTACGATTAATCGATTTTGTATTACGGAAAGTGAAATTTTATAGGTTGAACTGAATCAGGCGATTGTTTTATCGATTGTGAACGTGCTAGATACCTACTGATAATAAATGATGACGTTGGAAAAATTAATGAAAACAAAAAGTAATTAATAAAAACAATACGAATCGTATCTGACAAGCAAAACTACTATCATCAAGAACTTATTATTATTTTCTTTCATACAAACGATAAATAAATGATAGTAAGGAAAAATATAAAGTTTGGTTCATTCATGGTATAGGTACTTAATCATTTTCATTAAGTTTGTATTTATTTTTATTGATAGGTGATAGTATGTCAGGATTAAAAATTGGTCTTTCTATCATAAAACAACGCTACAAAACGCAGCTATTTTACACGTATTCAAGGAGTTGTTTACTTATCAATAATTTTATCAATTTTAATAAATTTGATGTGTGCTGTAGTGCCACTAAAGACGAAATAAGTTCTACGAAACTCAGTAACTTCCGGTATAGGGAAATTCGTACTTAAATTTTGAGTCCGGGTGGATTTGAAAACTTCTTTAAAAAATACCTAAAACTTAGATTAAACTATATATGTATAACCTATATGACCCGTTGGAGGTCCAAATGAGAACAGGAAAAAGCCCCATAAATGCGGAAAGGAAAATAGAAATGCTACTCATTGTNGTTGTTTGTTTGATTTACTACTGAACTCGTACACTAATTTGAATGAATTACACGTAACCAGAAATATGAAAAACGCTAATAAAGTAATAAAACTCAACGAGACAAAATATTTTCTTATCATAAGGAGGTATATATCTGTGTAAATATGTATTTATAATTGACCCGTTGGAGGTCCAAATGAGAACAGGAAAAAGCCCCATAAATGCGGAAAGGAAAATAGAAATGCTACTCATTGTACAAGCGGCGTCACATAAGAATACAGCCTTTAAAATTCGAAAAATACGTTAAAAACTTTAAAAAATCAGCAAACACGTTCTGTTGCAGGGGTGGTTTATGTAACTCAAGATTATAATTTCTGAATAAATTTTATAATATCTCTCTATCCGTGTTATCCATTTCAGTAATCAGAAATGGAATAGTTATAAACTGAGCAAGACCAAGATCGACACTGTCCCAGCCTCGATATTGGTTTTGGTCTTTTAGTTTGGTCTTGTTCTTGGTTTTGCAAGTATAAAGCATGGCCAAAACGAAGACCAAGACCTATTTTGCTCATCACTAACTTAATTAGAACCCAAAATTCCACAATACGTTTAGAGACCTAAAGCGCATTTCAGCACCCAAGGTGTCATCTTCAATTAGAGACTAAATTAATCTTAAATCTAAACCTAATTATACTGTTTCAATCAATAAAAGTATTCAAAACTAAATTTGTCAAAGAGCGGTCCGTATTAAGGGCGGGTTTTTTATGGGAGATCGCTTAAGGTGAAATTAAACGTTTTGGTTATCAGACAAATGGAAACCATTATCGTGGAATCGCTCAATAATCACAAAAATTTCTGAATGTATGCTTCGACTTAACTCTGCTGGGGTGGAATGTGAATCTATTCTGTGCAGGATTAAGTCGCTTATTTTAACAAAAAGAAATTACTTTTGCGTTAATCGTCGGTTACTTTAGAAATGAGAAGATATACAGAAAATGGAAGGAAATGACGCCATGGAAGTTAATACGAAAAAAGAGAGACAGGACGGTAGAACACTTTCTGAGATATCAAGGGTTAAGTAGAGATATATTTAGAAGCAGAAACAGGGATAAAGAGAGACAAAGAGATATCTAGATTAGATTACTATTAACAAACAGTTAGGGATGTTCTAGTGAAGGGATGCCCGTCTAACCAGTCTTTGGGCTATTATGGTGATGATAAATATTGTCACTTTAGAAACCAAATTGTCCCTTTATCAACTCTGCAAATTTTTTGTAATTTGAACAGATATTTCAGAACATACAATTAGTAAGTATTTAAAATAGATAATCGCCTCATGCGTTTTCCAAATCAAGCATCTACATCAGAGTAAAAACATATTGGATCCAATTTCTTTAATAATACATACATTACATACCCTTAATAGTTTTCACTTGATCTGCAAACACGTTTGATAGAACATTTTACGCATATTTTAAAGCAGTGACGAAAAGTACACCCCCGCAAGGTCAGGTATAGCAGAGGTCCATTGCCTCAAGGGTTAAAATTAAAATAAATACATATTAAAAGTTAATACCTCAATTCCCACCTTTTACAAAAGTTTACTGTAGGTACAATAACACATAAAATTTATACCTATTATAGTTTGTCAGGGGAAAGGGAAGGGGGTCAAAGTTGCTATTGCGGGAAGGTGTGATTATATGAGATGAACATTTTATAAAGATTTAATAAAAATTAAATGAAGCTTGCTTACCTCTCGTGTGTTATTTTGTATAAATCGGTACACCGTTCTGGACTAAAATAAAGACTGTCTATTTTTAATCAATGTAACGTGCTTACAGGAAATTATATTCTTAACTCTCATTTTTTACCCATACTAACCGCAAATACTTTTAATGATTCATTTGGGAAAAACAGTGCGTAATTTTGATAAAATACTTTATGTGTGGTACAAATCTATCAGTATAAATCTCAATATCTAATGATTTAAATATGTATTATTACACTTAATATAAAAAAAATACTTTTTTCTATTTAAGAACCAAAAATCATTTTGTAAAACTAGTCAAGTGCATTTTATTAAAACATATTTCTATACATCTCTTATATTTATAAATAAATAGGCATTAAGAATTCTTATTTTAAAAAAAATTTTTTCAAAATTATTATTTCAAGCTTGCCGCATAGGCCGCACATCTTACAATCCAGAAGTGTGTTAAATCTACTCTAGTTTGTATTAATAAATATTTTGGTATTTTACATGAATATAAGTTGTTTCCAAGCTCTATTTATTAGCTTTACTTGCCGCATAGGCCGCACATTTTACAATCCAGAAGTGTGTTAAATCTACTCTAGTTTGAATTAATAAATATTTTGGTATTTTACATGAATATAAGTTGTTTCCAAGCTCTATTTATTAGCTTTACTTGCCGTATAGGCCGCACATTTTACAATCCAGAAGTGTGTTAAATCTACTCTAGTTTGTATTGAGAAATATTTTGAAGTTCCACAGATTTAAGATATTCGTACGCTTTCATACGGTATTATCATACTCTCTAAATTTAGAAGTATGTATGTGTTTTTGTTGTTTGTTTGATTTACTACTGAACTCGTACACTAATTTGAATGAATTACACGTAACCAGAAATATGAAAAACGCTAATAAAGTAATAAAACTCAACGAGACAAAATATTTTCTTATCATAAGGAGGTATATATCTGTGTAAATATGTATTTATAATTGTAAAATTGAATATTAACATGTGCTCTTGCTTGCTTCTGCGAAGAGCATCGATCTTTTTTAAAGTATAAATATCTAGTTATATTTCTACTAAATTTTACCCTCAGCTTCGCTCGCGTTGATGTCCTAAATACGTGTCAAAAGTCATCGAGGATCACCTAAAACTAATTTTTTTTACCCCCCGAGAATAGTATTTTTTCTGGATAAAGTTTCTGAACAAAAGTTACCCTAAGTCATTTTCAGTACCCCTGACACTGTGTGTACAAAATTTCAAAATGATCGATTGAGTAGTTAAGGGAAAGTTAAGTCTCGGGAAAGGTATTTTTTTCTGGATAAATGGTAACCTGTGTCCTTTTTTTGTACCCTTGACGATGTTTCTACAAAATTTCATGATGATCAATTCAGGAGTTAAGACGTGAAGTCGACCACGTAAAACTAATTTTTTTCTGTTTCTTTACATTCTGTAAAATTATCGAGAGATTGTGTTCACGTTATAGTCTACATGAACTAATGCAAGAAATTATGTAACGGTTTATTTAAGTCACATATTATAAAGAAATACTATAGTAGAGGTAATTTAGCATCTCGTGAGCCGCTGTCTTGGCTTACGCAGTCATCTGGTTGTCATTCTTTAGATGGTTTTGGGGGTTGTGAAGTTGTGGTTGGTGTGTTAATAAAATAACAACAAATACACTTTCCATATATTTAACGGTTTATTATTTACCTATCTATTTTAAACCAGAAATTATACTTCACATAATTCACTTATTATTAATTTATTGGTAAAAATTAATATCAATTGACAGTTCGTCTGTTGTCATGGGTCTTTTTTCAACTATTTTTATAAAATCAGTTAAATTTTGGATATTGATTTGTTTATAATCAAAAACATTCACAGATGATTATAAGAAGTACATTCTCATAATATAAAAGAGATCTTACACTACAGATCTACAAAAAACTATATCATCACGAACTTTCGTTAATTTCTTTTTTATTTCTAACCTGTTTATTGTATGTGAAACAATTTTCAAAACAATTTCAAATTTTTTGGATTTGTACAGTTATACTTCAAACAGATTAATGTTAATTACTTATGTAGATACAGACATTTACTATTTATTAAAATCATTAACAAATAAAACAGGTACGGTAAAAATAATTATTAATTTACAAAAAATACCAAAAGATTCATATTTGCACCTAATTAAATATAAATCAATAAAAAACTAATCGCTGTTATCTATGATTTTTTAACATTTTATTTAGAATAAAACTAAAGCAATAATATTGAAAATTGTAGTATTATAAATATCAAACATATGAGGTATTTTACAATATTAATTCGTTAAAAAATCATGAAAAATATAAGATTAATCTAGTTGAAACAGAGTTTTTCTTTATTCAAGGTTTTTGATAATCACACATCAGTTTTTATGATATCTATCAATTAGAAGAGTCAATATCAATAATTCAGCAATGAACAACTGATCTGTAACTTATTGATTTAGTTTGAACTTGTTTGTTGAAGTAATGACTGCATAGAGAAAATATGAAAATAATGCGCCGAAAATACAGAGCATTGGTATAAGCCAGCTTGCAATTTTGTTTAGAAGTTCTTTATTTAACAGTTTTGACGAATAACTTTTGGATTTCGTTTCATTTATGTACTTCAATAAATCGGAGAGCGAACCGGAATATTTTGATGTTACATTGGTCAAATTTTCGGGTTTGTAAATATTGGGAAATCCATTGTCGAAAAGGTTATCGCTAACATCAAAAACGACGAGGGCAGTGAGAGGCTGAAGAAGTTGGAATGGTAATGTGGTGAGTAAATTGTAGGAAATGTCCAGTAATTGAAGTTGTGGGGTTCCCTTAAAACTGTTCTCCGTCAAAGTCACAATTTTGCAAGAACTCAGTCTGAGAAAATTAAGAGAATTCGATTTTAATATGACGTTCACGTTACTGAAATCATTATGCGACATATCTAAATACTTGAGATTGTTTAGCTCTTGTATTTCGTTCGGTATAACTGACAATTCGTTGTTTCGGATATTCAAGTAAATTAAACTCGTTAACCCTTTAAGTGTTCCTTCTTCTATTTTGTCGATCTTATTAAACGACAGTACGAGCATATCGAGTTGTTCGAGTCCTCTGAAACCAGCGCTTGTGAGCGTTTTCAGGAAGTTATTGCTTAAATGGAGTCTTTTGAGTCGAGTTAGACCTGCGAAAGCATCATCTTCGATATTTCTTACATGGCTACTGCATAATTTTATTTCCGATACGTTTTGGTATCCAAATTGCAAGAAATATGATGTAGGAAGTGTCGTCATTGATGCCTGGAAGATTTCCAATTCATCTACCGATTTCGAAGAAATATCTGATAACGCCACGCAATTGGAACTTCGTGGATTTTTTAGACATTCGATGTTCTCTGCCTTTGTATCGGGATGAATCCTACGATAAGAAATTGATATTCAAAATAATTATAAACCGACTGTTTTGAAGTTATTATTTGCTTCAACTTAATCCAATTTAAAAAGACTCGTTAAATACCTAAATATTTTACGACTTTTGTTAATTTATAATACATCGTAACGAAGATATGAAGACGATTAAAAAATTAAAAGGAATACTCACCCCTAATTACCACAAATAATTTTATATGAGCGGACAGGTGTTTCGCCCACTTCACACGTGGGCATTATCAACGCGAGACTGCAGGCACACGTGTCCGCTCATATAAAATTATTTGTGGTAATTAGGGGTGAGTATTCCTTTTAATTTTTTAATGTACAGACTAGTTGAAATTGAATAGAATAGAATTCGAAGAAAAAGTAAGCGAGGGAAAGCCAGCTATTAATGAGGGTTGTTAAGTAGGTATCGAAGACGATGAAATTCTAAAAGACATTCTGAAAGAGATCCTACTATCCTACGTGACAGCGATGGTGTTACCCTCAATGAGAGTGGTTAAAACACACTAATGTATACAGATCGTATTGGATGTGATATAATTGGGAAATTTGCTCTCGCATGTATTGTTAATTATTTTCTTTGAACATTTTAACCATAATTACTCATAAAAGTCAACGTATGCTTATTAAGAAATGTGTATTTATGATACCGATTGCAAATCTATAAGAGAAAGACATCCTACTATCCTACAAGGAAAAAAATATCGCGAGATCACCTTGAGGGTATAATAAAAAATAGAAAACATTTTATTCTTAAGGACAAGTCCTACTGATGATATCACTTCAAAAAAGTGACTTATCTATTATAAAACACTAAAAATTAATGTTTTGACTAATTTTATATTGCAGGGGCAGATCCAGATAGAATTCGTGGGGGGGATTCAATTTCTTCTAAAATTTGGAATAGAATACAATGCACCGTTTAAAATGAAAAAAAAAATGAGCCTGTGAGTAACGTGCAAAAGATTAATATTTTCACGTTCACGCAATCCCAAAGAATGTCTTAAGAGGTCAGATTAAAGCGTGAAAGTGGCATTCCAGATGACCCACTCTTTTACCAATGACAGCATAAATCATGTATGTTATACATAATGTACGGTACCAATTTCTGTGGCATCAAAGTCGTTGAAGTAACACCACTGGCGACAATAATGGGTGGCGGTTGTTATAAATCGTGTTCATGGAGTCATCACACAAATGACAAATTCCTATACAATAAACACAATGAAGTGGATATAGTTGTGTACTGAATTATCATAATACTGAAAGATATAATTGTAGGATTAGTTGTCGAGGCAAAGTTCGTCACCGTCGAAGAGCGCTATTATCTTTTATGGGCGTCTCTACACTGTTTACTAGACTTTCTTTAACAAATTTTTAACTATGAACCCGGCTGAATGGTCAGCCGAGTGGAGAGGATGGGACATTTGGTTTTACGTTCAAATACAAAAGGCATTTGAACTGAAGCAGAACATATTTAAATAGGCGAAATATATCTGGATTCTATAAATGATAAGTTCGAGAAGCAAACAAACTTCCCAAGTAGAAATTTCGGTTCATTTTATCGTTTTTAGGTTTGCCACATAACTGATGCCTAGAAATATAATTAGAATTTAACTAGGGCCTAAAAAAGCCAAACTTCAGTGAAAATCGAAATTAAAAAATTTCTAGTCAGGTCCTTAAGAAAAACAAATCTCCCACCTATATTATCCTAATGCCTTTTATTTCTTAAAACATTTTCTTACTATGACTAAAGAAGGGATAAGGTAATATTCCTCTTTTTTATTAAAATCTGAATCGATTTTTAATTTCTCTTCAAATTCGTCAAAAATATCAACAGTAGAGCATCTTTTAATATATCATTAGTTTCTTCTTTTGAAAGGATAATATGTTCGCTCCTTNAGCCTTGCTATATGAGCTCTCAAAGCATATAAAAATTATACGGCTTAAATGTGAAGTTGGGTGCAAAAGAATACAATTAAATCCTCTGTCGGGAAAAAACGAAATGACTTTCCGAACAACCCTATAAAACCGCTTGTGAGAGAAATTGCATTACAACAAAATTCAACATCAATTCATCAACAAGAACTATATGAATTGTGAAAAATAGCACTAAAGCGTCATAATTTGTTATCGCCGTTTGCAATCTAACGTTGAAAGAAGACAAAGAAATTAAATAACAGATAACAATTAAATGCAGTCAATGTTTAAGCTTAATAATAAATTGATAAATTAGTAATCAATAATAAATTCATACATTGCATCAGAATTGAACTTGTTATGAGAATAATAAGATCTTTACATTCATCAGGTGATTTTACTAGGAAACGGAATTCCCTTTAGAAAAGTACTTTGTGTCACCAAGGATATACTATTTTAATTAATATGGACATCTATAAGTATTTGGAAAGGTATACTTACCAAATGAAGAACAATAAGAACACAAAGAGTGACATTATGTAGGAAAACGGGTTTCGGATGTTTTTTTAATAATATTCATGTAATTTTTATTAATTTTGGTATTATCTCTTGACACTAACACCACCTTACTAGAGTGATAAACACTGGAATAAATAGTACTGATTAAACATCAGCAGGTACATTTTACATTAACTTTCAAAAATCTTATCTTGTCTTATCTTACGATGAGATAATAATTTGATTTTGTTTACTTATTATACATTTCAAAAACATAAAAGGTAACATTTAACGAATTGTTTGTTAATAGTAACAATTAAATATTTAAAAAATGCAATATCAAAGAAATCTGAAACAGCTAACCAATATAAGACTAAATATTCCGTCAAAATCGAGATTCTACGAATATTGAAAGTACATTTAAAAATCATTCAAACACAAATTAAAAACTGGGTATTTAGAAAAAGGCATGTTCCCGCATATTCCGATAAGTAATCTAATCGTGTTCTGCCTCTATCCCTATTAACTCTTGTTGCTGCTTCTAATATGCCTGTAACTAATCCTTTGTGTCTCAAAAAATATCCAGAGGATCTATCCCTATGGACGACGAACTTACAAAGCCAACAGTTCCCCATCAGATGGAAAACAGCGGAGATGCTCTTTATATCAAAGTAAGGAAAAGCCAAAAACAACACCTTCGGGTACAGACCCTTAAGTCTGTTACCATCATCCAGCAAAATGTATACAAAACCGAGTACAAGAAGCCTTTTTCAACCTTATCGTCCAATTAGGATTCCTGGAGCACCATTCAAGTAGCCAGACTTTATGAAGACATCATCTAGACTTTCAACCTGTCCCAACCAACCGAAGCCATATTCCTAGATCTCGAAAAGGCTTTCGACAAAATCTGATGTCGATAATCGTCGATTACGATTAATCGTAATAGTAATCGTAATCGTTTCGTCACTAATATTATATTCATTATGTCATAAAAATCGATAAATTACGTATTTTAAGCAGCTAGACCAATTTCATTGTGACTAGTCTAAGATTGTAACTGAACTCGTATTACGATTAATTGACATGATCTTTTTATTATTGATCTTCTTAAGAAAAATACAAATGTCCAGCTAAACAAATTAAAATTGGTAATATCTAATTTATTCTAACCATAAACACATTCGTATTTATTGAAAATTCTATCCCTTTGCGTTGTGTTATGGAAGATAACTGATTCACCTCTCCACTGACCTAGGATACAAATCAAGCAGATTTCAAGCAACGCATCGTCCAGTTTTTACTGCTTATCTGATTACGTGCTAACGACGAGTTTTTCAGTGTCGTGTTTAAATGTTTCTCCTTTCTAACTGCAAATGGGTGTAACGGAGTTATCCTTGCAGTCGGCTTCCTGAAGCGTTATCAAATGAAAGGTAAAATATTTATGCATTTTTCCTAAGATTTCAGTTAATTTATGGTAGTTTTCAAAAAAGCAGATGATATTTGCAGATAGTTATTGTTCATTTTCGACGGTGTGACGTAAAAAGAAATGAGTAATTCGTATATTCGGCGAGCATTTTGCTTTATATTTGTGCATCCTTGAAATTTGATAATCATTAAGCGCAAAAGCGAAAGCTATCAAGCATAGAAATTAAAAACGTATTAAAGTAAACAAAAACACATTTTTCCAATTTTCAAGGACGTTCACACATACGAAGTCTCATGAGTAACTGTTGATTCTTATCAGTGCCAAAAGTGTGTAGACCCTTAAAAACAATTTGAAGGCAATTGTAGAGAATTCAACGATAATTTTGTTTGTAATAGTAAGAAAATTTTCATTGTACCAGCGGTATTTTTCAAATCTATCGGCTCATTATAAACATTTTGCGTTGAGGGTGCCACAAATGATGGATGAATCTTTACAAAATATGGGGTGCTGATGGATTTGCCAATAGGCTGTATAGATTGTTCCCAAAGGATTCACAGGGGGTTATAGCTGGCCGACTTGTTTGAGGAATATATTACAGAGAGTGGATTAAAAAGTAATCTCCATCTTCTCCATCGCTCTTAATTTTACTTACTTCTTTCACAGCTACTGGACTATCTATGTATGGTATTATGGTGCAAACACTAAACAATGGTTCCTAACCTTTTTAATATTGTTACCCCTGTGACCTATTAGGAAAACTGATTTTACCCCGCCCTTAAAATATTATCAATACAAACAACACAAGCAAATACAAATATCTTTAATAATCACAAATTGCACATCAGTCTTACAATTTTATATATCTAAACAATAATTTAACTAAAGATAGTTGGTGTAATGAATGGTATTTTGCATTTTTCAAGTTTTTTTATGTTAGCTTTAATTTCGCTTAAAACGCATCCTAAGTCATGTTCCACATTTAGAAGGATTCTGGTCTTTGTTTTTAGTGTAACCAAAGTTGAAAAACCACTTTCACATCTATAGGTAGTGGCAAAAGGTATTGACATTTTTAAAGTTCTGTTAGCTAGAGCAGGATATTCGGTACTAGCTTTTCGCTTAAATGTGCTAAGATCATAATTTTGAAATTCTACTCTGCAAGTAGTATTCTGGCGTAGTCCTAGATATTCCACTTTAGCCGCTACGTCTTCGTTTTTAATAATGTTATCATCCGTAGTAAATAATTTTAGGTCTTAATTATTAGGTTCTTTGTTACCTCCGCAGAATAACTGATTTACCCCTGCGGGGGTAATTACCCCCAGGTTCGGAATCACTGGTCTAGAAAAACTCCAATCTTAAAAAAATGAGAAAATGCCTTAAAGGTTTTCTTAAAAAAGACTTTATGCTGAGGTAAATGTAGAAAATTAAATAGGAACTACAAAAAAAGTATTTATTTGAAAAAGGTATTTTGAAAATACGTATTTTGCATTTAGAATTTAAAATGCAAAAGGAAAATGTATTTTGTATTTTACATTTGAAATAACAAATCAAAAAAAGTATTTGCATTTTGTATTTTGTTGATTGATGCGGGTGTATTGCTTGCTTAGATTTTCCTAAGCAACACTTAACCCTCTTCGATAAAAATTAATTTAGCGAAGTCGATATTTTTTGGAAATAACGGCCGAATAATTTCTATCTGTGGTATTTGTGGAATGATAGAACGAGCAATAAATAATTGACGTGATTTTTAGCTTTTTTAATTAACAACGAAAAATAGCTTAACTGATAAATGACAAACCACTTAGATTACGAACAACGAATGAATACTACTAATTAACGATTACTGATGAACTGATAAACTGATGATGTGATTAAATGGAAAAATGCCTAAATATAACAACAAAATAAAGGGGGTGGAGGTACGTTAGTGGGGTGTTTTTGACCTTAGACTATTGTTAGTAACTGCGTGACTACAATGACAAAAGTGCTTGTGGATGGGAAGACCATCGGCCCATGTGGTGACCAACGCGAAGGGACGTTAAAGTTACTTTGTTGCAGGCACGTTATTTTAAATTTAAAACTGCGAATGGCATAAACGTTTTCTTTGTTCAAAAGACATATAATGAATTGCGCCCCAACATATTTAAATATTTTTAAAAAACTGTTTGACACATCTCCAGTCAAAAATAGGTTAAAGACAACCCTGTTTATGGGGACATAAAATAGAAGATAAAAAAGGAGTAGGTACCTTTTTATGAATTCCGACATTGCAGCATCATTGTTTTAATATTTTAACCGCTCTCATGTGAAAATTTCTAATAAAAATTTAATTCTTTGTTTTTATTGTTTTAGGTTTCGCAATGGTCCCGTCACGCTGAGCCAGTTGATGCAAAGAAACATCTCGAAAGATCTAATTACACGGATCCTATGATCACCTCTTAACGCTCGTGGAAATAAAACACGGTTAAAAAATATTTATATTTCTACATTATCTCTTAACAATTTAATATATTTAGTCCACCATTTTTCTAAACCCACTAACCTTTAGAAAAAAATCTTTGTTTTTGACCCACCCAAAACGCCATCACTTTGCTATCGTCTTTAAATAAGCTATGACACGTGTTTAGGACACATTTTGTACATACATTGTCAGGGGTACAGAAAAGGACATAGGGCACAGAGCCGGACTGAAGGTTTTGGCCCGGGGTGCGATGTAACCAAACGAGCTGGTTTAGAAGGGAAAGTGCACAAATTTTAACAGCACTCGTTTTTAAATAAATTTAAGAAAGTAGGAGGAAATTTGCGTTTGTCTTTGCTCTTGTTTTAAAAATTTATTAAGTTTTTTTTTAATTTCTCTTTTTTTTTCTCATTTTTTGAGTCATTTGGCCCAGTTTTATCCGGGAGGCACCCCGGGCCTGTCCGGACCTGACAGGGTACCTTTTCTCTAGAAAAAATACCGTTCTCAAAGGATAGAAAAAATTAGATTTATATCATCGCCAATAAATCTTTGACACGTATTTAGGACGTCAACGGGAACGAAGCTGTGGGTAAAAACTATCTTGAAATTTTGTATACACATTGTTAGGGGCACAGAAAAGGATATACGATATACATGTTACCGGAAGTGTATGAAATGTTAGGAATTATATACAATTCGTAGGCTATTTAGGAATCTATAAAATCTTGTTTCAAAGATTTTTTAATACACACATATCCTGGAAAATGTATGAAATTCCGATGTTCTACTAGGAAATTTATAAAATGCATAAAACTAATGCTTTCTGTGAATAAAATGAATACCCTCCCGTCGCTCTGCTATCCCTGCGTACCCAATGCCATCTTAAATGTAATACATTTCCGATTGCAATTTAGGAAATGTATAGATTTCCTAGGAAATGTGTCTAATATAATATTTTAGCACATTTCCGGGCGGTTTTAGGGATTATATACATTTCCTAGGAATTGTATATAATGACGAATTACACCCACTTCCGTTAACATATATACTTTTTATCCAGAAAGAAATACTGTTCCAGGGGGATAGAGAAATTAGTTTTATGTGGTCGTCGACGATCTTAAGCACGTATTTATAAAAATCTAATTCCTTCTTTTTATTGTTTCAGCTTTCACAGTAATGGTCTGGACAAACTGAGCCAGGGGTTTACTTGGATTTAAAGAAATCTGACGTGCACAAGTTTTCTCAATAATGAATAAATATTTAGAGACTGTGAAATATATATGTTTAAGCCACATAATTATATTTCTAATAAGGTATATTATTAAGAAGAGGGTTATTTATATTGAATGAAAAACGGTGATGCTACAAATAAATAGTCTATTTCAGTAAGTTAGGAATTAGGAATTAACTTATCTATGTTTACGAATCAAAAAGCAAAAAATACTGTTGAAAATTCCTGTGAAATTTTGATGTGTTATTTGTATACTTAACTAAATATTTTCAACGGAATTTTATTATATTTTATTTTAGTAGGTAGGCAGTTTATAGAAAATATTTCAAACTTCCATTTAAGCAGTAATTAGCAGTTTTATTACTGTTTGGTATTTGCTAGAAGCAAATTAGCTAGACTTACCCCAAGAGATGTGTTGTTGAAGGGGTGTCATTTTAATACGCTATAAATATGTTATAAAATATTCATGTGTTATAAAATTAGAAGTGGCTGATTTTTGGTATCTAGGAAGTCACATAAGTTAGCATACAAGGAGTAGTAGGGATATAATACAGAGGCTAGTGCTGGATCCAGTCTCCTTTAATAAAAAGAAGTCACTTCCATGCTATTGAACTTTTAATTTAGAAATTCGAAATAGATTATTTATTAAAGGTGTACCTATGTTTGAAAAGAAAAGGTTAGAAGCCTTCGAGATGTGATGTTACAGGCGAATGTTGAGCATACCTGGATAGAGAAGGTTAAAAATTAAGAGGTGTTAGAAAGAATAGAAGTTCAGAGGACTTTATAGAAGTCAATAAGAAATAGGTGAGATAGGTTGGTAGGGCACCTTCTCAGGCATGAAGGCCAGCCAAAGACATATCAGAGGTAGAATGAGGAGTAGAGGCAGACCTAGATTGGATTACTGTTTGCAAATAGTTAAGGATGTGGGATGTTTTAGTCTTAAGGAAATGCGAAGATTAGGTCAGGATAGGAAAAAGTGGAGGTACGTGTCCAACCAGACTTAGGACTGACAACTTTCTGATGATGATTAAAATTATTAGTTTGTATTCTTAAAGAAATGGTACAAAAAAGGCTTGAGGTAGAAGGGTTTTAGTTGGCAGGTCCTTCTCAGGATCATTGATAATACGCTATTATTAATATTAGAATTTATTACGTAGCACCCACCACCATCCTCAACTTTAAACTTAAGTTTTACTGTTTTGTTCACTTAATTCAATAATAAATGATCTCAATAGACACTTGTTTGATTTATTTTTGCCAAGTAATACTATATTAATATTTTTTTCGTTTAATCTGACCAAAATCGACCCATGTATACCTACCATAAATAAACGATCGAAATACGCACTAGTTTGCTATATTTCTGTAAAAAAAATGCTAATTCATCGTGTTCTATTGTGTTTGTTTTGGCCAAATTTAAAACGGCCCATTTAAATAGTTCAATGTTGCTGAAATAACAAATTACTACTGTAAATTAATTATTATCCCTTATATTACAGTTAAAAATTATCGGACGTCCTTCGTATTTCGTGCTTTTGAAGCGACATCTCACAGCAAATAGTCAAATCTTGTTATATCTAGTTTGCAGGTTTCAGTTGTTTCTATTACAGACGTCTACCAAATAGCTACTAAATTTTAGGCGGCAATAATAATAACACTAAATTTTACGCGGCAAATTGTCTGATTTCCCAAGCAACTTATGCTCTCCTAATACTAATTTTCGATTTTCAAAGTTGCGATGCAAGTTTGATTTCGTACCGTGTCTGGCGCCTTTACCAAAATTTAACATTGTATATTCTAACAACTACGTTGTTGATTAAGAATTAAGCATTTTAAGCATATTAATGAACACTAAAGCAATTTTCAATCAATTTTTGAATATAATTGCCAATTTAAATAACTTTTTGTACGTTTAAATTTGATTTAAATAACCGATGTATGCTAGCTGTCGATTTTACGTTTTTTTCGGCTAAAATCGACCCATGTATATAAACCAAAATCAAAGGTTCAAGGAGTAAGCAAAAATTTTCAACTCGATTCGTTCGATTTTGGTTCATACACATGAGTGGATTATAGCCGAAAAATACGTAAAAACACCATAAATAACCATTGTTTTACAAAAATAAAGCAACCCACAGCTAGTTCCTATCATTTATTAATCAATTATCGGTATCAATTGTTATTTACTGAAGAATTAAGCGAAAAGTTTGTCCCAATGTTCGATTTTAGTTCCCAAAAACAATCGACAGGTAGCTATACATGGGTTATTTTTGGGAACCAAAATCGAACACTAGTGCAAAATTTTCGCTTAATTTTTTTGTAAATGATAACTGATATCGAAAATTGATTAATAAATGTTAAGGACTAGCTGTGGCTTGCTTTATTTTTCTAAAAAAAATGGTTATTTATGGTGTTTTAAACGAATTTTCGTTTAAGGTCGACCCGCGTTTTGGAATTAAAATCGAACGAATCAAGTTGAAAATTTTTGCTTAATTGCTCGAAAAATTTTCAACTCGATTCGTTCGATTTTGGTTCATATACGTGGATCGATTTTAGCCAAAAAAACGTAAAAACAGAATAAATAACCATTTTTTTTTAAAAATAAAGCAAGCCACAGCTAGGTCTTATCATTTATTGATCAATTATCCATATCAGTTGTCATTTACTGATGAATTAAGCGAAAAATTTGTCCTAATGTTCGATTTCGGTTCCCAAAAAAAACCCATGTATAGCTACCTGTCGAATGTTTTTGGGAACTAAAATCGAACATTAGGACAAATTTTTCGCTTAATTCATCAGTAAATGACAACTGATANAAATACTCCCGAAGCACTCAAAACATCCTGACGAGGTCTAGCACTATCCTTGATTGCTGAGAATGAGACACAGCGACGCCCTGATCCCAGATGCAGTATTCCCTAATGATGGTGAGGATGTTCTGTAATAATAAAAGCACAACTATATTGCTATATGTTAAACAAAAACAATACAAAAAATATTCAAAATAAAAAATTTTTATATTCTTTATCGCATTTATTTTTTTTCTATTACTTAAGAAATTGATGATATTTATACATTTAATCAAACTTTTACTTATGATGGACCCGTTTTCAAAATCTGTGGAAAATTAAAATTAATAGTAATTGATATAGATAAGCTTACTTTTGTCATTTTTCAAACTCAAACTCTCGAAACTTCAAGATTTTAGTGTAGAAGCTTCGAAGTTCAATGCCGGACTCCCCAAAATACTCCGGAAGCACTCATAACATCTCGACCGAAACCATACGCGACCCAGCAGTATCCTTGATCCCTGACGATGAGAAACAGCGACGCCCAGATCCAAGATGTAGCATTCCCTGATGATGCTGAGCATGTTCTGTAATAACAAAAGCACAACTATATTGTTATAAGTTAAACAAAAACATAATACAAAAATTATCCAAAGTACGAAGTATAATAAAAATTTTTATCGCAATTATTTCATTTTTTTGAAGGAGACTGATGATATTTACAGATTTAATCAAACTTTTACTTATGATGGACCCGTTTTCAAAATCTGTGGAAAATTAAAATTAATATTAATTGGTATAGATAAACTTAATTTTTTCATTTTCAAACAATTTGTATTTAATTCTGTTTTCCAAAGAAATTGGTTTATATTTACTTGAATTGAATTTTTCATTGTGCTATTTCATTATATCTTACAACTGTAGTAAAATTTAGACAAGAATTTTGCCAAGCTCGCTTCTTTGGTAATAAAATCCTTTTGAACAATCTATAAGAGCATATATTTGAAAATTGAAATTAACATTCGCATCCAATTAGTAAAAATAAACGTTACTTTACGAAGCGATAGGTGACTTATTTTAATCTTTATTTAAAATGATTTTAAGCACTAAGTTTCATAGATGAATAGTAAAAATTTTTGGAAACTTTAGAAAGAGAAATTTGTAAATGCTGGAAACGTAGTTTTTACCAAAATATTTATTAATTGTGAAATAGCTATGATACAGTTTGATGAATTTAATTGTAAAATCAGTAAAAAGTTTAATTGGTGACATCTCTTATTTTATCCAAAGATATCTTCAGTTTTTAGACGACTTTGAGAATGAAATCTAATTCAATAAACTAAGCTTATTGTAGAAATATCTTACGTTTTGTCTAGTCTCTGATAGAGGTCGACATCAATACAAAAGAACTTATTTTTTATTGAAACGACAACGAGCAACTTCTAATAATAGTAGTATGTTGAACAAAGTAAGTACTGTGTAATTGTAATTACCAATGGTTTGTATGTGTGTATCATGTTGTATGTATGGATGTATGGATGAACTCATATCCTCATAATTACTGTTGCCAAGCAGACTCGCGTTTTATTTTCCTCGTCGGCGTTTATATATCCACAATATTCATGTACCCATACAGTAAATGTATGTAATCACGTATGTGGTTCGCATGTTTGAATTTCCGCGTTTTTTTATGCAATTCTGTTATTTACACAATATACATATAATTAGTAATTACTATATGTCTGTTTTTAATTGAATTTTGCAGTCATTTTGAAAAATGGATAGGTACACTAATCACACATTACTATTTCTATTTTTTTATACTCTTCTATCTACTTATTAATTGTTTCGATCTAAGTCGAAGGAGGAAGGGGTTAACTACCATCAGTAAAAGAGATTAAAGTGAATCCACTGGTGTTAACCGAACCTTGCTTGACTGAAACTTCTGGATAAGGAGAAAAGTAATGAAAATCACTGATGAAAGAATTGGTAGTATCTTAAAATCTTCCATAAGGAATTAGGAAACCGAATCAACTGAGATGAAGGCAGGGGCGGCAAACTCCCCTTCTTTGTACCATACCCCTTATTTCAGACACATGAAAGCGAAACAAATCCTCCTAATAAGAAATCTCATTTACTGGTGTGCATTATGAAAGTATTTTAAGATTCTGTGGGTGGAAATTGTCATCCAAGACGAAGACCAGAATAGTAAAATAGTATTTCCTAAGGAGTAAATGCGATTTTTTATCCAGGAGAGAAAGTTGCGCCCTTTTCCCTGAAATCAGAGCAAAATATCGTAATTCGGGGTATGCCCGAAAGATTAACGTCACCTTTTTATCCACCACGGTCCCCAATGGGTGCGAGATTGAATTTGGCTGCACTACCAATTTCGTTTAGTCAGCATGCAGGACCTCTGGAACCGTATAGGCACGACCTATCTAATCCCTACTAACTCTGTAAATTGGTAACCGAGCAGCTTCGGGACGCTGATGGTCACCCGTTGGGGTAAAACTCCTCCTAGCCCAACTTGCGGGTTTAATCATTACCACTATGAGTCGTACCACACCTGGGTTATGCCGGTGGATTATCCCATCGGGTGCTCCTGGCTTCGCCAGTAGTCCAGTCAACATCACTGGTGGGATGTTCAGAGCAATAACAGCAACTCCTCCTAGTTGAGATTACTTACAACTTTTGGTATTGGGTACGTGGGATCGCCAAATCTAAACCACCTTAGGGTTCTTTGCGTTTTTATCGGTAAGGGTATGGTAAAGAAATATTTTTAGGGGTGAAATAGTACAGGAGGGGTAAAACTCCTCCTAACCCAACTTGCGGGCTTAATTATTACCACTATGAGTCGCACCACACCTGGGTTATGCCGGTGTATTATCCCATCGGATGCTTCTGGCAGTGGTACCAGTCAACATCACTGGTGGGATGTTCAGAGCAATATTAGTAACTCTTCCCAGTTAAGATTACTTGAAATTTTTCGTACTGGGTACGTGAGATCGCCAAGCCTAAACTGTCGTAGGGGTCCTTGCGTTATTACCAGTAGGGATATGGTACAGAAATATTTTTTAGGGATATAGCGATCTAAGCATACCGCTCGCTTCCGGGAGTCTTCGGCTCTAGAGAAAACTCACTGCCGAAGATTACTGGAAGCGAATGTTATACTTTCTTAACTTGGTGCGTAATATACCTACTATTTTCCATACCCTTAAAAAATAATCTTTTACCATACTTCTACCGAAAGTGCGATATTTTTCCGAGATCTGTGATCTACAAGGAACACACAGCTTCGCAAAACAAACGGCAACAACAAATTTAAAATTTCTCATAGAAAGGTATCACAAAGCAGTTTTTCATATTCATTTGTTTGTTATTGTCAAAACGTTTTTTTTTTAAATTAATTAACAATTTACCTCGGTAGTTTAACATTTCTTTGAAAGTAAAAAAAACTATTGTTACGTAGCAAGAACCTACCTATGCGTAAGTTTAACGAGAAAACTTTGGAAATTATTATGCGTAAGTAGGCCATTTGCTTGTCTACTGACGATGAAAGGAAAATTGTGGTTGCCGTTCACAATCGCTTGCTTTTTCGGAGGCGGCCATGGAAAACGCATTAGAATCCACTGTACATAACGACGAGTGTTGATCCTGACACCAATAAAGTCTCTTGAACTGCCCCTTCCCCTCTTATTCGTCGATTTTGCAATGGTGCAATTTTAAGAGCGCAGATTTTCACGTTTTACTTTGCAGTATATTAACAAGGGACAATATTAATACAAAATATATATAAAAACAGTGCTATTTAATGGGATATATATTTGTTTGAAAATATGAATAACAATGTTCCAGAATTAATTTTGTTTATGTTTCGTCGTTGGTTTTAAGCACATCATTATCATCATAAGGTCGTCAGTCCTAAAACTAGTTGGATCATGGACATAGAGAATGGACTGTGCATTCTCTATATAGCTATAAAGTAAATACTGGCAGAAACGCGGCTAGTAGGTTTCTTTTTCTAGAACAGCTGTTGAATCCACTTCCCTTTTTGCTACGGGACCCTTTCTAAACCACCCTTTTTAGACGGAACCCTATCCCGACCAAAACATCGAATACGCGACCAACAAGATAATATAGAAGTATTAGCATGTAGCAAGGAGGAGATAGAGACAGCTGTAAATAAAATGCTAACAACAAAAATACTTGTATGCAAGGGAAGATAAAGTAGGGAAAGAGTAAATATAGTAAAGATAGGAGACGAAAGATTAGAAGAAGTGACTGATTTTAGGTATCTAGGAAGTCAGATAAGTCAGGACGGAAGGAGTAAGTAGGGATATAAAGCAGAGGATAGCACAGGATCGAGTGGTCTTCAATGAAAAGACGAATTCGAAAAAGATTGTTAAAGGTGTATGTTTGGAGCGCGGCGCTGTAAGTGTGCGAAACATGAACGATGGGCTCGGCGGAAAAGAAAAGATTAGAAGCTTTCGAAATGTGGTGTTAAGGGCGAATGATTAGGATACTGTTGATAGAGAAAGTTAGAAATGAAGAGGTATTAGAAAGAATAGGAAAATAGCGGACTCTATGGAAGTCAATAACGAATAGGCGAGATAGGTTGGTAGGATAAAGGTTAGTTTTGGTTAAAGAAATTTACGTGCCAACCCTTAAGACCTTCCTGAAATGAAGGATTTGCCACAAAATCTGAGGAGTCAGATTGAATAAGACATCCCAAATTAACACAGAATAATCCAAATCCGAAAAGATTGAAAGTGTATTCAATACAATTGTTTATGACGAACTACCTTTTGATTTGAAATAGGAAATAGTTAATGAGTCTGTTTATTTCAAAAATAATACATTATCGACATATCAGAAACCCAGAAACTCAACATGTTTGAAAAGGTTTCCAAATGTTTTTAATTTTTTGGGAGGAGGCAGTTATACTAGTCTACTACTGCCCTTCTGAACTATTATAAAATTCTAGTAATTTTATCAATATCAATATAGGCGATTGTTAGGCCTATGTTCTCAGGACCGTTATTTAAGTGCTTACTTTCAAAAAACGAATGGAAATATACCGGATAAGCAAGTTTCAGGGCAGAAATAGAGTAAAGGTTCAAAATCAATAATGCGTCCGAAGGGCTTGAATTGAACGTGTTATTGGAATTTGTTGGAGATGGATGGGGATAATTCCATGGATGACCCTTGAAAGCATCACGAATGTTCTTTTACGTGTAGTATCACTTCTATTTGGTGGAATCGACTTGAAAGTATTTGAAACAATTTTGTTTACCATATTCACGATAACTACTTTGTACCTAATATCTTTTGCTTTTCCGTGTTTCAATTTGCATGACCAATTAGCTACCAAATGAGTAATATCATTAATAATAATTCGGAGCACGACAATGTAGATAAATTAAAAATATAAAGTTATATAACAGAACGTCATACAAACGATTTTGATAAATCTCAGCTTTTCAGAGATCGGTGATTATAAAAACAAAGCAGGACAAGTACGAAGGAACTCCAGTCATTTTAATCCGTTATGATCAATATTTTAATACAGAAACTGTGAAACTTAAGT